GTCGCTGGTGCTCAGTTCCCGATCGTCGGAGGCAACAACGTCAACGAAAAAGGGCTATTTTTTACTGATTAACAAACACTCAAATATAGAATATGTGATAAAATGAAATCAATGCAAGCAAAGTGACGTCTCGTTTCCATCTTTTGGAATCAAATGGTTTCTTTTTCAGCATCAAAACGGCAGAGCATATACAAGTCTTTTGAAGATAAGACAATTCCGGCGTATGAATGCAAATGCGGTCAACAAAGCTACTATCCACTACTGCAACAAAAACAACTTTGCTCAATCTTAAACTCCCCATTACCCCTTCCAACCCTTACCCGTCCTCCTCCAGACTTTATCCGCGTTCCGTCCCAGTCCTTACCCGTCCCAACCCTTACCCATAAGAACATTTCATAGAAAATAAGTATTCCGTTACATTTTTAATAATTTATACATGTACCATTTATATTTATAGGAAAATAAAAATTCATCAAATAAATATATGAGACTAAACAACTAAAACCGTAATAAAAAAATAGATCAAGAGATCATATTTTTTTTGCAAATTATAAGGAAATAAATCCTAAGTGTAGAGAACCTTAATCTCAAGGAAACTTTAATCTCAAGGAAGCTTTAACCCTAGGGAAATTTTAACCCTAACAAACCAAACATATGGTTTAATTCAACTAAGCTATAGTGAAATCTAGTTCATATATGTATTGTTTGGTTAGTTTTTGCTGGTGGTTTTTACTCACGTCGCACTTATCATTCTCATATAATTTCTACCAACATTTATATCATATGATCGCATATCATTATTTTAAATTGTTTCAAATAATATTTAATTTTCCCAGAAAATAAGTTTTCAGTCAAATTTTAATAGTTTATACATATACCATTTATGTTTGTAGGAAAATCCAAATTTATCAAATAAATATATGATACTAAACAACTAAAACTATACTCAAAAATATATCAAGTGATCATTTTTTTTTTTGCAAATTAAAAGGAAGTAAATCCGAAGTGTGGAAGTCTTAACCCTCACAATTTAAACAAAACTATGGTTCAATACAAGTGAGATATAGTAAAATTTAGGTCGTATATAACATTTTTTAAAAAGAAATAGGGTTAGTTTTGGTGTGTCTAATTGTGTATTGTTCGGTTAGTTTTGGAGTGTGTTTTCATACTCACGTCACGTCTCTCTTTCTCATACAACTCTATCGCAACATTTATATCTTGCTCGCGCCTATCATTTTTGTTTCCTACGACTTTATAATCAACCTCCATAAAATCACCACTTTTAATCTGAGACAAACTCAAGAATTCCAATTAACACTCAGAATCCTTAACTCTAATAAACTACTCATAAATTTGTTCCGATGATGTAAATATTATTATTCTTCTAAGAACATTAAATTCAAACACGTGTATACCAATACCGTGTCCTTAGAGTAAACGATACATGGTTTAAGAAATTATAAATAACATAACTAATATATAATTTCATTTATTTAATCGCATTAAACCAAACATGAGTTAATTTTAATCAAATGTATCCAGCTGCATAAGCACAAGTCTCATGGACAACATGTCTCCAATATAAACAGTTCTTTGTTGCACAAACTCGTTCTTTCTATGACCATTGTATGTCACTCTTCCGATTTTTTCTACAGAGCTAAGGCAAAAAAGAGAATCGTTTTTCCAGAATTTGGAGGACCCAAGAACAGAGCCATCCTTCAAGATTCGACTATATACATTTAAAATTTCTAAATAAAAAAAATAATATACTTTTTCAAAATTTTCGTTGACTTCATTGAGTATATTGAACTTCTTCTTTTGTTTCGGAAGCACGTGCACAAAATATATATGAAAAGACATAATCTTCTATGAAATGACATAATGTAGAGGCCTTCCCAAGAAGATATATGAAGAAGATATGATCACCATAGATCTCCCTGTACATAATGATGAAAACTTT